CTCACCTTGCTACCTCTCCTGAAATCTCTCCCCTGGTTACCTCTCCCTAAACCTCTCACCTCGCTACGTCTCCCTACACCCCTCTGTCTTGCTGTCCTGATTTTTATTTGTCGTGTTGGTAATGTTTGATAATACTCACAAGAGGCGCTGTGGGACATTTTATTACATTAAAGTTTATTTAAATGCATGTTGTTATTGTTGTTCAATTGGCAATTAACTGGCTCAGTGAGCACACGGATAAATGGTGCAGTCTTTATTACTCCCTGAAGTCAGAGTCAAATTGTGGTTCTATTGCAGCACAAGCAATAAAAGCTTAGCAACACCAGACCAGTGACTCAATTAAAAGGTGTCAAGGCATACTTTTTCATCCTCCTTCTGCCTCCCCCTAATTCTCTCTCTATCTCTGTCTCACTTTCTCTCCCCATGTCTTGTCTTTATCTCTCTCTATCTCTCTCCTTCCCTCCCTCTTCATGTCTCTCTCTGGGTTAAGACGACATCAGACTTGAGCACGGTCCTTCTTCTTGTGCAGTGGACTTTTAGAAAACCCCTGGAAACACAACCCAAAAGTAAACAATGAAAAAAAAATACGTGGTAGCATCTTAAATTGTTTTAATTGTTTTGTTCCATTGAAATGAGGAGGTTTAGCAACCCAAAGTTCACAGATATCATACAATGGACTCTGAAGTATAGAGATGAACCAGCTAAATCTGCTGATCACAAGCAGCCAGTTCACTGCTCACTGACTTTCATCAGAAAAAAGCAGATATCAGTATTTAACGTGAAATGAGCGTTTGAGATTTGGGGATTAGAATCCACTGTTTTGTTCATCAGCATTCCTCATTGCAGGATAACAAACCAAGTTAAGTTGGCTTCTGGACAGAAAAAGGTCCAGAAGTGAACTGATGTTTGTGCTAAACTAGATTTAGAATAAAACCTTTGTAAGTCTCCAATTCAAGTGCTTAATTCAACAACTGGATAGCAGCCTGTTTCAATACTGAAATTCTTGGTTCCCTCATTCCTGCTCCCACTAACACAACTGAAGCTTCTTAGTCCCCCAGTTTCCACTGCCCCCACCAGCAGGGACTTGATCATCTGATCCTCTTGCCGGTTGTTCCCATTCCTGTCCTCAAGAGTCACTGAAGTCAGAGAAGACCCCTTCAGCAGGTCCCTGGGCCTACCAATTTGTTCTGGACTTGATGGGCCAAATGGCATGCTTCCACACTGTGGGGACTCTACGATTCTAACCTCTGCCTCTTGATGGGTCACTCCAAAACCAGGTAGAGGGCGAGTGTAAGCTTTACGAGCGTACAGTGTTGGAGTAGGCCTTTGAGCCTGCTCTACCATTTAATATGACCATGGCTGACCTAATTGTAATTTAAGTTTCTTATTCCTGCCTCCTCCGATAACCGTTCAGAAGGGTTTACGGCTCAAAGGACTGAATAACCTATTCACGTTCCTATTTTCTATGTTACCTTGTCCCAAGATTCTACCTCTGCCTCCAAAGTAGCAAAAGACTCTCGTTTCCATCACTTTTTAGGGTAGAGAGGTCCAAAGACTTACAGCCCTCAGCGAGAAAAAGAATTAAAAATATTTCATATAATTTCACGGCATGTGGGCATTGCTGGCTGGGCCAGCATTTACTGCCCGTCCCTTGTTGCCCTTGAGAAGGTGGTAGTGAGCCGCCTTCTTGAACTGCTGCAGTCCATGCGATGTAGGTCCATGCATAGTGCTGCGAAGGAGGCAGTTCCAGGATTTTGACACAACCACGGTGAATGAAAGAACAGCAAGATAGTTCCAAGTTAGGATGGTGAGTCGTTTGAAGAAGGGAATTTGCAAGCGGTGGGTTTCCAAGTGCCTTTGAGGTGATACAGTCACGGATTTAGAAACCTCAGTGGTTTGCTACAATGCTTCACAGCTGATGGTACGCACTGCTGTCACTGTGCATCGATATTGGAGGGAGTGAGTGCTGAAGGGGTTGGATGGGTGGTCAGTCAAGTGGACTGTTTCCCCCTGGATGGTGTTGATCCTCTTGATAGAGTTACACCCATCCAGGTGAGTGGAGAGAATTCCATCACATTCCTCACACATGCTGGACAGGCTTTAGGGAGTCAGGAGGGGAGTTACTCGCTGCATAATTTCTAGCCTCTGACCCACTCTTGTAGCCACTGTATTAATAAGACTGATCCAGTTCAGTTTCTGGTCAGTGATAATCCCAGGATATTGACAGTGCGGGATTCAGTGATGTTAATGCCATTGAATGTCAAGGGGTTGTCTCTTGTTGGAGATCGTCATTGTTCATCTCATGCGGTGTGAATGTTAGTTGCCACTTATCAGAGCAGGCCTGGATGCTGTCCAGGTCTTGCCATATTTGGAGATAGGCTGCTTCAGTATTGAAGGATTCGCGAATGGTGCTGAACATTGTGCAACTGTCAGTGAATGTCCCCATTTCTGACCTTATGATGGAAGTAAGATAATTGAGGAAGTAGCTGAAGATGATTGGGCTCACGACAGTGCACTAGGATAGTATCCTGCAGGGATATCTTGGTACTGAGACAATTGATTTCCAACAACCCAACTGTCTTTTTTTCACTAGGCATGACTCCAACCAGCAGACAGCTTTTGTGTTTTCCCAATGACTTTGTTTTGCTTGGATTTCTTGATGCCATATTCTGTCAAATACTTCTTTGATGTCAAGGGCAGTCGCTCTCACTTCACCTCTTCATTTATGAAGAGATGGAAGGTTTGAGTTATAAAGAAAGGCTCTTTAGGCTGGGACTTTCTCCACTGGACCACAGGAGGTTGAGAGGTGAACTTATAGAGGTTTATAAAATCAGAAGGTTTTTACACATTAGGGTGGTCACACCAGAGGAAGTGGTGGATATGGGTACAGTTACAACATTTAAAAGACACTTAGATAAGCACACGAATAGCAAAGGTCTGGAAGGATATGGGCCAAGAGCAGGCAGGTGGGACTAGTTTAGTTTGGGATTACATTCAGCGCAGACTGGTTGGATCGAAAAGGTCTGTTTCTGTGCTGTATGACTCTATGACTCTGAATTTAGGAATGTACAGTACCTATATTTCAACTTATACAAGTTGAATCATAGAATAGAATCCCTACAGCGTGGAAACAAGCCCTTCGGCCCAACAAGTCCACGCTGCCCCTCAGAGCATCCCACCTAGACTCATCCCTCATAACCCATCTGATCTACATATCCCTGAACACTACAGGCAATTTAGCATGGCCAATCCATTATGTTTCATTGTTTTGGTTTTGATAGGAGAGATCCTACAGAACCTAACTACAGCGTTTATATTGGCTGTAACAGGAAAATCTGATTTACTTTATATTGTTTGCATTAAAACTGCACTTTGAGGGACACAGCTACTTTTTTTTAAGCAAGGAATTACTATACAAAATGGAATTCGGGAGAAAACTCTTTACTGGAAAGTGGTATAAAAGTAATAGCAGAAGCAGTGGTTGAGGTGAATAGGATGGCTTTACATGAGCAACAGCCATATACATACCTGAGGGAACAAATGTAAATAGTTTTAAATGAAAGCAGGTGGAGGGGGAGGCTTGTGTGGAGCATAAGGACCAGCACAGAGAGTTGGGCCAAATGGTCTACTTCTGTGCTGTAAATTCTACACAGCTATTTCATGAATTACTGCTTCAAGTTTTGAGATAACTTCTGATATTTCTCACACAAAGAATTCCCAGTCTTCTCTGTGTTATGGTGGCCTATGTGCTTCTGTCGGGGGGAGGGGGGAAAGTTTCATTTTAGGGTTTCTCTGAAATATTTCTTGCAAAACACCTTGCTGTCAGAGATTGATCATGAGACCGAGCTGCTCGGGAGATATGCAGTGGAAAAAGGGTCCACCAAAGGTTTCTTTTCAGAATGAGTAGGTTCCTGGGCACAGTTCTGTCTTCAAGCAGTTTAATTTTAATTTAGAACAAATTGATTGCAGATCAAGAAACATCCTTTTCCAGCAGAAGTCAAGGAAAATACTAAATAATGGCTGAAATAGTACAAAACTCTTGTTAATTGCAGGACCTCACTGGGGAGTCTACAACCGTATCACAGTTAGAAGGGATTTGAAGGAAAACCCTTGTAGGAAGTTAGAAGGGATTTGAAGGAAAACCCTTGTAGGAAGTTAGCAGAAGACCCAAAAAATGACAATCCTTAAATGTACCTTCGAAACAGTAATCAGAGCAAATCATTAATCTTCCAGTTTCTGATAGGTGTACACCAAATTGGTGTAGAAAGAAAGTTAAGAAGTTTGTTTTAAAGTGTAAAGCATTTATATTCATTGCGCTTTTAATATCATTAACATAACCAACTATTTAAGAACAAGTAGTTATTACTATGCATGTTCTTTGACTTTTATGTGGTAAGACTTCTTTTCATTTAAACTGTGAATCTTGTGGCATCACTCTTTGAATAAGTAACTGAGATTTCATATTCTAAAAAAAACACTCAAACACATCACTGATTTTACAGAGCTCATTTAAGTTTGAGAATCTAATCTAAACTTCCGGCACAAATGTCCGTGTCTTGGCCGTGCTTTGGCATTAATCAGTCCCAGCTCTGTGGGAGCTGCATTCCCCTCTCGCTCTAACCCTGCCCCATGTTTTGAAAAGAAGAGATGGCAGAGGAGCTTTAAGCAAAGCGGTGACAGCTTTACCTTAGCTGCGTCTTGCAGGCTCTGAAGGCAGGTTCGCATTAGTTGCTGGAGCTCGTCAGTCTGCTGGCGGAGGGTGGTCACACGCTGAGACATTGCCCCCGTCTGATACACATCACTGACACTGTCTAACTTCTCACCCATGGCCTGCAGATCACTCTGGATTTCCTCAGATTCACGGAGGGTGACCTGCAAATGGAAATAAAGACCTGGGATCAATATAGAGTCTTAGGACATCCTAGAGCATCTGACAAACAAGCAGTCATACAGTGTGGAAGCAGGCCATTTGGCCCATCGAGTACACGCGAACCTTCCCAAGAGCATCCCACCCTATCCCTGTGACCTTGCATTTCCCATGGCTAACCCACACATACCTGGACACTATAGCATGGCCAACCCACCTAACCTGCACATCTTTGGACTGTGGGAGGAAACCGGAGCAAACCCACCCAGACGCGGAGAGAATGTGCAAACTCCACAGAGACAGTCACCCAAGGGTGGATTTGAACCTGGGTCCTTGGTGCTATGAGGTAGCAGTGCTAACCACTGAGCCACCGTACTTCCAGATTTTTATTTAATTCAAATTCTACCGGATTCGAATTGTGGTTCCCACAAAATTACCTGGATTTATGGATTGACAGTCCAGTGATAATGCCACTAGGCCACTGAGTTCCCATTGATCAAATGCAATTAGTGTCATTAGTGCAAATAAATGTGAACAAACTGCTCAGGGGGCTCCGATGTACAGCCAAAGTTAAATATTGGATGTGAAAAGAATGACTGCATTAATACAGCACTTTTCATTTCCTTACTACGTCCTGAAGTGCTTCACAATGAGTAGTGCACTTTTTGAGCTACAATTAATCAGTGCTGTAATGTAGACGTCAGAGCAGCAAATTTGTGCATTTCAATGTTCCCACAGGCAGTGATGGAAATGACCAGGTCACGTTCATACATTGGTCGAAGGACAAGTAGAAAAGAAGATAAAGTCGCCATACTCCCAGAGGAGCACAGGGCTGCTCCCTCTCATTAAAGAGAAACGAATGGCGATGAGTTTAACCGGAGGGTCAGCACCTTGGTGGTAACTTCAACCAGTGAGGGTAAATATTCACCCAGACCCCAGGGAGAGAACCCCTGGTTGCTTTTCAAGGGTTACCATTGGACCTTTTACATTCACCCTGGTTTAACAATTAACCCAAACGACGGTGCCTTTGACAGTGCAGTATTCACTTGGCACAGCACGGAAGATCCAACAAATTGTGGGTGATCTACAATCAGCTTTATACCCTGACTATATCCAGCAACCACAGCTGACATATCTGCTGGACAGGAGTACTCTGCACTGACTCAGCCAGAGAGGTAAAGGCAAGGCCATCTGCTGCAAGGACCGACGTTGTTGAGTCAGTTGCTAACATAGGCTACTCGTATAAAGCATTTGTGTCCTACCTGGTAGGTGATCAGTTGGTCATTGAGCTGAGCTGCAGATTGCCAGCTGATGGCACTGTAGCCGAGATTCTTGGCTTTCTCCAACCACTTCAGCACAAAGTCAAGCATTTCGTGGAATTCCTCCAACTGTGAAGCAGCCTGACGAGGTTAACAGGAGCAGAAGGTTAGGTTGGAGCAGACACAACATCATACACCAGAGCAGCACAGAAACACACAGACACCAACACGACATATACACCGACACAATACAGACACTGCAACACAACAGACACCAACAGCAACACAGACATTGATACAATGCAGACGCTGTAACACAGCATATACAGGCAGCAACACAGACACAGACAGTATCACAACACAGACATACAAAACAACATGATATATACACCAAGATACAGAAGTGACAGATGAGTTGTACTCCATACAGGGCAGGATTCTGACGAATCAGTTTTGTACTGAATTGGAGTTATTGGAGGTTGGGGAGAGACAAGGGAAAGCTGGAGAGATTGAGCTGTTCATGGCTAAAGGTGACTGGGAAAATTGTCAAACACCATCACAATGGAAACATTGTTTTGGGAAAGCTGTCCCGTGTTCTGTTTTTGCTAGCAATTTCCTATCCTCCTGAGGGTGTCGGGTCTGGTGTCATAGGTTTCTAACGCCCTTCAGCAGCATGGCGTGCCTGAATCTGGACATAAACATTGGCTCATCATAGTCATTAACAACAGAGTGAACCTCTCCCTGCAGCCTCCACCACCACCCATTCCCCACAGACTTTCATCCTACAATGGGCTTCATTCCACCTTACCAGCTTCCGACCATCACCTTTCATCAAGAACAACACATCCAAAGCTTGGCCCTTCGTATCCTGTCCAATTCCTCCTGGAATTCCAGCACAACCCATTAATCCTCTCACACCCCTTCTAGCTGGATCTAAACTCCTCAATCTACCTGTCCCATTTGCAGGCAAAAGCTTCACCCATCTGACCGCATCCTCTCAAAGTACTCCCCAGCCCCTCTGCCTCTCTGCATCTCTCAGCACCATGAAAGACTCAATTTTTTTCAACTACCTTTCATGGCCTCTCGAGACCCCCACCATAACCTCAGACACCAGTTCCTATCCTCCCTCCAGTGAGGCACCATCAGATCTTTATAGCAGCAGTGAATCCTTAACAGCTGCCTAAGTGAGCAGTTAGGCATCAATTTAACGCCTCATTTGAAAGACAGCACTTCTGACAACACAGAACTCCCTCAGCACTACACCTTCACAGGTCCCAGTGGAACTTGAACCTTGAACCTTTCAACTATCTCATTCAGAAGTGCTACCAACTTTAACTAATCTTTATAAAGTACCTTAAACTGATGTTTATGGAGTACCTCACGCTGTCTTTACATGCACTACTAACCTATCTTTATGGCATAACCTTAAAGGATCTTCTGTTGATATTTACTGTGTACCTCAAATTATGTTTCAATCTTGATGATGATATGAATCTATCACTGAGAACAGGAGGATCCTCAGGGTCAAAACTCTGCCTCACTGTTTCTGACCAGGCGAAGTGGTGTTTTACTGAAACACTTCTACAGACAGAACCACTTACTGTGCTGCACACAGAATCAATTATAGTCAGAGTCATTCAGCCCTTTGAGCCTGCTGTACCATTCAATATGATCATGTCTGATCAAGTTTTAGCACGGAAGGGCAAAATGTGTCGGTGCAGGCTTGGAGGGTGGAAGAACCTGTTCCTGTGCTGTATTTTTCTTTGTTCTTTATTCAGTGGAGGGATTGGGAGTGTCCATTAATCCCTGGAAAAACTGAATCTCAGGAACATGCTCAAACACCAGTTGCTTTTTCATCCACATCACTGACAGTTCAGAAAGCTGCTCCTCAGAATTCAGAGCACGATGGGGTTTAATGAAGATGTGTGGGTGCGATGACCATGGGCAGAAGTTTACAATCCCACCCCCCCCTCACCAGACCAGTTTGAAAGCTGGGGGAAACATGGGTTTTAGAGAATACAGCGAGTGCCCTTGCAACATCCACATTCCCACTCCCAAACTGTTTTCCATTTTACTGGTGGGGTTTGACAGTGGAGGTCTTGGGCTTACTGTTAGCCCAAAGTGGCCAATTAGTGGTTACATCAGGGCCTCATCCCACTCCTCCTGCTGTTTGACTTGGGGCAGGGGAGGCCTATACGAAGCAAGTAGCTGGCAGCTTTGGCTTCCTGTTATGGTCTCTTCCATGTAAGGCATCAAACACCACCATCCCACAACCCCCCACCCCCCACCCACCCATCAAAACCAGAGTCACAGAAAACCCCCTCCCCATTTAACCTTCCCTACCCCGGCTTCTCAAATCTAGCCTGTCAATTCTCAAACCCACCCCCCCTCACTGGTGTGTGCCAGCCTGGTCTCACCCATACCCTACCTATTCGTGCTCATAGCTGGGATTCCATTAGCTCCCCTTCTTCAGGGACTGGCTGTAGTCCCAGCACTGGCCACCACTCAAGCCTGGTGCTGCTGTGATTTACAGAGCTTCCAAGTGGGCATCAACTCTTTGATGGAAGCACCTCCTCCCTAGAGAGGACCAGGAGTGGTGAAGTAGCTGCGATCTCACCCTGACCTAAATAACTCCCCACTGAACAGCAAATGGATACCAGATGGGGACAAGGATCAACTCTTCGGTTGGCGGGGCAGGAAACCGTACCAGCCAGAAAGTTCTGTCGGTGAGGGTGGGAGCCTCTGGGTTGCACTGTATATGTGGAGGGATCAGAACGGAACAAAGAACAGTCCAGTGCAGGGCCAGGCCCTTCGGACCACCAAGCCTGCACTGACACATGACTGGGACTAAAACCCCTTTGCCTACACATGGTCCATATCTCTCTATTCCCTGTCTATTCATGTATCCATCAAGGTGCTTATATGTTGCTATGGTATCCACCACCTCTTCTGGCAGCGCATTCCTGGCACTTATCCTCTGCGTAAAATAAAAACTTGCCTCCCTCATCTCCTTTAAATTTTCTCCCTGTTTAACTTAAACCTGTCTCCTCTAATAATTGATATTTCTACCCTAGGATAAATACTCCGACTATCCATTCTGTCCATGCCTCTCAGTTTTGCAAACTTTTATCATGTCACCCCTCAGCCTCTGATGTTCAAGCGAAAACAAACCAAGTTTGTCCAATCTCTCCTCATAGCTAATACCCTCCAAACCAGGCAACACCCTGGTAAATCTTTTCTGTACCCTCTCCAGAGCATCCACATCCTTCTGGTAGTGTGGTGACCAGAACTGTACTCAATATTGTAAATGTGGCCTAACTGGAGGGCAATTTAGCAGGACTTTAGGAACTTGACGAATTGAGATCTAAGAAACTGGAGCAGGAGGAGGCCATTCAGCCCCTCAAACCTGTTTCTGAATTCAATTCGATCTTGATTCATTTGGACCTTAACAATTACCCACCTTGATTCCATATCTCCTATTAACCTCACCGTTCAAAAATACATCAGTCCCAATTTTGAACATTCCAATAGGTTGAATTGATTGATTCAGTAGCAGTTCTGGATTTCCACTGCCCCATGCATGAGAAAGTACTCGCTAACATCCTGCCTGAATGACCCCGCTCCAGTTTTAAGCTCATGCTCGCTTGTTCTGCACTCTCCCACATGAAAGATGAGTTTCTCTCCATTTGCCTAAACAAATCTTTCAATCATTTTAAACACCCCAATTCAATCCTCCCTTAAAAATCTACATTTAGGCCTACACTGTGTAACCTCTACACACAATCGAACCCCTCTTAGCTCCATCGCGGGGGAAAAGATGGGCAGAAATGAGAAGGGATAATGTTCTGAAACCACAAATTACATTTGAAGACATGAAGAGGGCAGATTTTGAGATGTGTGTACAGCTGACATTGCTTACCTTGTTAAGTTTGGAAGCTCTGTACTCGGTCTCCTTAAAGACCTGCTGATAAAGGCTCGATAGCTTCGTCATGTCATCGGTCAGACACTTGCTCTGTTGAGGGTTCTGCTCTATGAAATCCTGTATCGTTGCATCCAGTTCCACGAGTTTCACGTTACAGCTATCCAGCTTGTCCCAAAGTCTCTGCAAAAGCCAAATCCTGTCACAATCAAATCTCCACGGCTCCCCCAGGATTAAACTTGGAATGTGCTCAGAAAACATAGTGCCCAGGCTTCTTGTGTCAGGCACAGCCCATGCAGTAGTACACTCATCTCTGGTTCAGACTCTTGTAGGTTCAGGACTGACTCCAGTTCAGGTACATAGTTCTCTGAGAGTGGCATTACAGGTATAACAGGGTGGTTGAGAAAGCATTTAGCACGCTTGCCTTCATTGATCAGAGCAGTGAGTTTAGGAGTTGGGACATCATATTGCAGTTGCACAGGACATTGGTGAAGCCACTTCTGGAGCACTGTGTACAGTTCTGGTTGCCCTGCTATAGGAAGGGTATTATTAAATTGGAGAGGGTGCAGAAAAGATTTACCAGGATGTTGCCAGGAATGGACCGTTTGAGTTATAAGGAGAAGCTGGATAGGCTGGTACTTTTTTCACCGGAGCGTAGGAGGTTAAGAGGTGACTTTATAAAGGTTTATAAAACTATAAGGGATATAGATAAGGTTAATAGCCAAGGTCTTTTCCCCAGGGTGGGGGAGTGCAAAACTAGAGGGCATAGGTCTAAGGTGAGAGAGGAAAGATATAAAAAGGACTTGAGGGGCAACATTTTCACAGAAGGTGGTGTGTGTATAGAATGAACTGGTAGAGGAAGTGGTAGACACAGGTACAGTTACAACATTTAAAGGGCATTTGGATAGGTACATGAATAGGAAAGGTTTAGAGGGATATGGGACAAAAGCAGGCGAATGGGACTAGTTTGGTTTGGGAAACTTGGTCGGCATAGACAATTTGGACCGAAGGGTCTGTTTCTGTACTGTACGACTCTATGACTTTGCTAACTTCTCAGTGCAGTACTGAGTGAGATTTGCTCCATTAGAGTTTTCACCTTGCGGGTTTGTTGAACTGCTGGCTCTGCTCACATTCTCACACTTAAGATCCAGCTATTTTGACGAAAAGCCAGGGAGTTCTTGCTACTGTCCTGCCAGTGTTTGTCTCTCAACTAGAAGCCACTTAAAAATAGATTATCCGGTCATTATCTTGCTGTGTGTAAATTGGCTGTCGTGTTGTCCTCATTATAACAGTGCCAACATTTTTAAAAAGTCTTTCTTTGGCTGTAAATCGCTTTAGGACACCTTGAGGTGGACTATTTCAAGATCTTCCATCTTTTAACCATCATTATGAGTACCTAGGGTAGGTTTTAAAGCTGGTTAGCCCCTCAATTAACAGCCATAAATCAGGTGGAACTCCACACATTGCCTGTGGCAAAGTTCAGGAAGATTGGGTCTTCTCAGGGACAGGGTCAACAGTCAACAGCAGGGTCAGAGCTGGAAATTGGAAACTGAGGTTTAGCAAGGAGTGACACCAAGAGAGAAGTGGTGGTGACAGGATAAGGAGGACCATGTCTAAACTCGCAGCAGCAATCTACGTAGTGACTTTTAACTGGATCCTACTATGGCAAGGATGATTCAGAAATAAATGAGTGAATGAGCTGCAATTCCTTTAGAGAACTGTTGGCTTCTCTTCATTACATAAGCTGAAATCCTACTGGTATCAGCCTCTAGAGTTTCAGACAAACATAAGAGTGATGAAAGCTAAAACATTGGAATCATTTTGGAACTAACTGAATGCTGCACTGTCAGACCTTTTTTACATGAATGATCTGCAACGGACAAAGTAGCTGGAATTGTCTTGGGACTTTCTCATAATTCACCGCCTACTTGGAAACTCGATAGATGTTGTTCTACAAAATGTTGACGCTTGTACAAAGGGAGCTGTGACTTTGAGATGGGGAAGGTTTCAAGAGAGTTTTGTGAAATAAATAGTCTGTAAAACTAAAATGATTCAGCACTCTTATGTCTATGTCAGAAGGACCATGAGTTCAAGTTCCACCCAGGAGACTTCAGCCCCAAATCCATACTAACACTTCCAGCACAGAGAAAGTGCTGCACTGTTGGAGGTGCCTCCTTTAGAATGATACATCACATTGGCTTAGTCACCTTTCGTGGTGACTCAGGCAAGCACTAAAGATCAAGTGGCCCTGTTTGGTTATCAGAATATAGGCCAACAACAAGCAAAGTGGATCAATTCCTCATCAATCTGATGACAATTTGTAGGATTTGCAGGATCCTTTGTGTGCACAACAAAGTGACCACACATGAACAACTCGCTCGGGAGTTTCTGAGAGATCTGACAAATGGCTGTAAGAACAAAAATCATTTCCATTCTGGATTAATATGATAGTAACATCTCATAGAATATGGACAGGGTGGAAGCAGGCCATTCGGCCCATTGAGTCTACAACAACCCTCTGAAGAGCATCCCACCCTATTCCTGTAAACCTGCATTTCCCATAGCTTACTCATCCACATCCCTGGACACTACGGGACAATTTAGCATGGCCAATCCACCCTAACCAGCACATCTTTGGTCTGTAAGAGGAAACCAGAGTACCTGGAAGAAACCCACGCACACACAGAGAGAATGTACAAACTCCACACAGTCAGTCCGTCGAGGCTGGAATCGAACCTGGGATACTGTTGCTGTGAGCTATCATGCCACTGCTTGCACTGAAGGTAAGAGAGCCAAACAACACGCAGGCTGCATGGTTTTGAGGATGCTCATTGAACCTTGTTGTGTGTGTAGATATAGAAGGTATGTGCAATTCGTTGTAAGATGCTGTGAGCTAAAGACAGTAAAAATTTGCTTCCTGTGTCACAAACAAATGAAAGAAACAGCCTGGCCCTGTTTTACCTTGTGCTCAATCTTGGCTTGTACAATATCAGTTCCTTTCTCCTTCAGCTTTCTGGAGATATCGTTCAATTCATCAGAGATCTGCTGCATCCTGCAGTTAAAGTCCAGGGTCACCGCCTGCATCTGCTGAGCTTCTCCTTCTTTCAAATTCACCTGAAGAGTGAGGGCACCAAACGTTAGCATCTGGGAGTCTCGGCTCACAGTGAACACAATCTGTTCCAGCCAGTTTCCAACGGGAGCTACTCAACATCTATGCTTTTCCGGAAAAGGTTATGGTGGGCATGGGGTGGGGCCGGACTAGAGTGTTGGGAGAGGAGAGGCTGAGAGAAAAACAAATTGCATTAATTTGTTTCACCAAATGGCTTCAATGTAAGCAAATGTGCAGTTATACATTTTGGACCAATTAAGGATTGATCAGGGAACTTTCTAGATGGCATGAAGTCAAATACAGTAGATGTCCAAAGAGACCTGAGGGTTTAGGAGCGAAGATCATTAAAATGCTGTATTCAGGGGCAGAAAATAATCAAAGAAGCCAATGGAATGCAGGTCTTTATATCTCGGGGTTTGCTGTACAAGGTGCAGAAATCACATGGCAGTGATACAAAACCTTGACTAGATCCCACTTGGAGTTCTGTGAGCAGCACTTGGGCACCGCACCTACGGAAGGATATATTGGCCTTGGAGGGAGTATAATGCAGGTTTACAAGAATGATACCTGGACAGGGGTTAGGTTATGAGGAGAGATTAGGCAAATTAGATCTGTTATGTTTAGAATTTAGAAGGTTAAGAGATGATCTGATCGAAGTCTTCACGACGTTAACAGGTAAATACAGGATAAAGATAACCTATTTCCACTGGTTGGGGAATTATAAAACAAGGGGACATAGACTGAGAATTAGGGCCAGACTGTAGAGGAGAGATATCAGGAAGCACTTCTATTTGCAAAGGGTGTTAGGGGTTTGGAACTCTCTTCCATAAATGGCAGTGGTTGCTGGATTTGTTGTTAATTTTAAGTCTGAGATAGATAAATTTTTGTTGAGCAAAACGTACTAAAGGATATGGGACAAAGGCAAGTAGATGGAGTTAGGCCACCAAACAATTGAATGGCAGAATGGGCTTGAGGGGCGGAATGGCCTACTCCTGTTCCTATGCTTTTCTAAAGCTAGTTCAAGACTTATTTTATTGATAAAGACAGAATCACCTATCACAACCAGTTATATTGACTTTTATGAGCAGTTCTGGCCACTCGTTTTTAAAACAAACATTCACCATGAGGCAGCAGTAAGTTGAGTTGTCCCGAGCCACCATCGTATTTCTTAGGCAACTAGGACTCTCAGCTAATCAGCCGCCCCCATCACCCATGAACTGGCGCAGTTCGAGAAAGCAACTCATCACCAAGGGCCACTGGGCATGAGTAACAAAACCAGCTTCCCGTGAAGGAATGAAGAAAAGAGTAAGATTGTCAAGACTAGACATCTGCCTGCAGGGAGAGATCGCATGTAAACATCACACTGCTTTGTCCCAGTTGGAGAACTTGCTTTGCCCAAAGATAATCATCTTTGTGAGTCAGTAAAGGAGTGGATGCCTGACACTTCAGCCTAAGTGACAGTAATTTTGGGACAAACTGGTGTCCCCTAATGATGAAGGCAGGAGCATAAAGCAATTGACCAAGAGACTCAAGGCCTTGCCTTGACACAGCTCAGAGAGAAGCTGGTCAGCAACTGATGCTCAAATCTGCACTCTCTGTGGAAAAATCCAGCAATGGCAAACAATAATGAAATAAACAGTTATTTTACGTTTTGTTAAAGTATGTCTTAAATCGAAATAGAATGCAACGCCTGAAGTGTTTTCATTACGTGAGAAGCCGGTTGTCTCTTTTAAAAACTTGTTCTTGAGATACAGGCATCCCTGTAGATTGACGTTTTATTGTCTCATTCATTGCCCTTCAGAATGGCACAATGCATCACTACCCTCTTCTCCAGCTCCCAAACTATTGCTGGAAGAGAAACAATCGGTACCTCCCAAAATACAAGATTCTGAATAAAAACCAAAAGAACTGCGGATGCTGCAAATCAGAGACAGAAACAGAAATTGCTGGAACAGCTCAGCAGGTCTGGCAGAGAAATCAGAGTCAACGTTTCAGGTCGAGTGACCCTCCCTCAGAGCTGAATTCTGAGTGTTCAACTGTCACACTTCTAACTGATGACAAGAGACTCCAAGCTATTTTCTGTGGTTTCTGTACAAAATGTATCAACAGTAGTAAATCGCTCCTTAAAGTTCATCCCAGGCATGTGAGTATCGGGGGCAAGGCCAGTATTTCTTTCCCATGCCATGAGGTGGTGTGTCTGACCATCTCCTTTAATCACTGCCATCCACATAGTGTCAATACTCTTGCGTTGTCAGAGGGGCAGTTTTGGGACTCTGACGCAGTTAGCCACAAAAGGAATGGCCATTTGTGTCCAAGTCGAGAAGATTTGTGATTTGGCGGACGATTTGGAGGTAATGGTATTCACATGTGCCTGGTGCCCTTGCCCTTCTGGGGCTGTGGGTTTGGGAGTTGTTTCTAAAAGAAATCCAGGCCAATTCCTATGATCTCTCCCGCTGATGGTACACTGGCCATGGAGAACAGTGAGTATTTTGTAGTGGTGAATGGATCCCCAGGGCGAAAGCCCCCAGCGGCTACCGAGTTCAAACTTTACCTGTTCCTCAATGGCTCCAAGGGCCAGTGTGACCTCAGCCAACTGCTCTGAGAGCTCAGAGGGCAGAATGGTGTAAAGCTCCAAGTATTTATCGCGTTGTCGATCTCCCAGTCGTGCCACAGTCTGATGTCGAGCAGCTACTTCCGTGTGAAGTTCCTAAACACAAGAGATCGCATTAGAGCAGCAGATTGGATCCAAAGAAAAAAAGTCAATCAGCAAAGACAAAATATTGTCGGTGGGTAAACGTGGCAAAATCCAGGGCTACTGGAGTCACTTACTACAATTAAAATCCCCCTGGTGTCCTGGTGCATGAACTTTTAGTTTTACTGTATTGGTTTTTGACGTCACCTCCTCCGCATAAAATTCTCATCCTGCTTTTCAAATCTTTCCATGATCTCACCCTTCCCAAGCAATAAAACTGTCCCCAGCCTCACAACCCTTTGAGATTGCTATGCCACCCGTGTGGAGATGGTAGTATGGTGGTGACAATCCTGAACTTATTAGTCAGGGGGCTGTGCTAATGCTCTAGATTCATGAGTTCACGTCCCACAGCAATAACTGGGAGAGTATATGTTTTAATTAATGAATAAATTGCTGTCACTAAAACATTTCTGGTTCAGTAACATCACATGTGACTCCCCACACACAGAGCAATGAAGTCGAATGGCCTAATCAAGCTGTTCAGTTTTAAGTGGCTCATTAGTAGCTGCTGAGGGATAATTATGGGTGGGTAAATAAATGCTGGCTTTGCCAGCAATGTCCACGTCACAAGAATAAGTGAAATACCCTTCTCCGTATCTGGCCTCTTGTGAATCACTGATTTTAAAATGGCCAACCATTCACATCTGTGCCTTTACAGGAAATTCCCTAAACCTCTCCACCTTCCTTTAAACATACTTCTTTTGACAAATCCTTTAGTCAAATGGTCTACCAGCTCCTTTTGTGTCCCCGTCTCAAATCCTCTCTGAAAACACCCCTGTGAAGGCCTTCAAATCCTTTTACTGTGTTGAAGGTGCCACAAGCATTTGTTGTTGTTTACACCTAGGCTCACCATCATTTTCTCAAGGGCAATTGGGGATGGGCAGTCAGTGCTGGCCCAGTCAGTGACCCTCACATCTCATGAGCGACCTTCCAGAAATTAAGGGAATAATAACCTAGTCAGGGTGTGATGAAGGTCAGGGGATGGCAGCAGATTCTTCATTCTGTGTTCCATCCAATCAGTACTCAGTACCCAAATGGTAAAAACAAAACTCTGGCCCAGTGTCTATTCAGGCAGCACCAGCTGTTCTCCCTGGTCAACATCAACCTTGCCCAGATGTTTGGGGGCTTCAAACTCTATTCCAGAGACTTGCGTACTATATCTGGGCTTATATTACAGTGAAGTACTGAGAGAGTGCTGCACTGTTGCGTGAAGGCCACGTTTCCCTGTCAGGTGGATGTGATAAGATCCCCTGATACTATGTTGAAGAAGAGCAGGGAAGTTATCTGTACTTCATTGCATATTAGAGATTTACAGCATGGAAACAGGCCCTCCGGCCCAACTTATCCCTGTTTTCACAACTAGTCTAGTTCCATTTGCTTGCGTTTGTTCCGTATCCCTCCATGTACCTGCCCAAATGTTTCTTAAATGACAAAATTGTACCCGTCTCCACCACTACCTCTGGCAGTCTGTTCCAGACACTTCACTACCCTTGGTGTGAAAAAAATTGCCCCTCTGAGCCCTTTTGTATCTCTCCCCTCTCACCTTAAACCCATGCCCTCTAGTTTTAGACTCCCCTACCATGGGGGAAAAGCTGTTGGCTATCTACCTTACCTATGCCTCTCATGATTTTAGAGACCCTGACCAATACTGACCCGTCAAACCACAAACCAGGAAGACAGAGGATTTGGTCCATTATTGGATTGGGAGATGGATGTGTACAAATTGGCTGCTGTCTGCCACAGAATCAAAGTGACACAGAATGAGTCCAAATGACCTGTGCCATCTCTCGTTGGAGCAATGCATTCAGTTCAACTCCCCCTTTATATTGCTATCACTTTTCAAGTTAACTTCCATTGAGTTCCCCACCAATTTCTTTTTGGAATTATCTATTATCTTTACTTCCACCACCTTAACAGGGACTGAATTCCAGGTCATTTCAAGCTCCTTTCCTATGGCCACCACGCTTCAGTATTCTGCTGGCTGCAAAGTGTTTTTGGGAGATCTTGAGCTCATGAAACATTTGGTATTCTTGCATTTGGCCTGATGAGTGCAAGGCACAAAGCTTCAGCAAGATGTCTCTCTTCTGAACAACATAAATGTATTTTTTTTCCTATTAGCTGCAGCCAATGCTTAATGTAAATACCTTTAGCTCTCGGAGCTCCGTAACTGCATCAGAAGTCGGATTCAGCAGATACTCTCTTGTTTCATGAAGCCACTGTTTGACAGCATTTAACTCACTCTCCACCTCCTCCCGCTCTTTTAACTCCTGTTGGACCATCTTCTTACTCTTCCTTATCTTCTGCCGCACACTTCAATTGGACAGAGACATTTCTCAATATTAGCTTTGACCAATTTGGGCCCACGGAACAAAATTCTCCCGTCAGGGAAAGTGCATTTCAATTTGACAATCTGACACCAACTCAAACACGATTATGAGAATGTAGCTGTCTGCAGGAAGTGGTCAACTGTGGTTTTCCCATTGAATGAAACATCAGAGGCTCTGATCAGGCCCAACATTTACTCCTTGATCAACACCATTGAAACTAATCGTCCTGTGACATATCACACTTGCTGGTTGAGGGATCTCGGATGAGGTTAGGTAATGGATCCCTTCGTTGAGGTCTGCTGTCACCGAATGCCTAGCTTCATACGGTCACAGCCAAACAGATGAGGGACTGTTGGCCTGATGCAGGGGCTTGGGAGGCAAACAGTGAACAGCCAGTGAATTGATGATAATGTGCGACTGAGGATTATTACTGGGAGAATGAAGGCGAAAGTCAAAGAAATAATTTGGTAGATTAGAGAATGTTGCCTCAAGTGAAAGGGCTGGAACATCCCTTGAAAGGAATTGGATAAGGTCTAGTAGAAGGTGGATATAAAACACCACAGAGCAAGGCTTAGGGTATGTAAGCTTAGAGTGGACAGCATTAGCTGAAAGGGTAGCACACGCATAGGTGCAATGGGCCAAATTGCCTCCCTGCAATTTCTACAGTGGCATTCGAGGAACTAAAACTTGGAGGAAATAGGAGAGAAAATCAAGACAGAGTCACAAACGGAGGCATGTGCTGTTGGGAATGAACGGAGTTAGTTTCCAACGTTAGGCTACCTGCACCTCAGTAACAATCTGCCATGTCCAGAGACAGTGTTTTGTGCCATTATGTAATGACATAAATAATGTGTCGATTCAATATTTTCGTAACAATAACACCGGATATCACACTGTGTCAATTACTGCAAATGTGGTCATTTCTAAAAGCCTTCAGCTATCCAGACCTGAAACGTCAGCTTTCCTGCTCCTCTAATGCTGCTTGGCCTGCTGTGTTCATCCAGCTCTACACCTTGTTATCCATGAAAAGCCCTAGCCTGCTTGAGGCACCTCTTGGTAGTAAACAAACATGAGACACAAGGCTTAGTGTCTAGGTTGGAGTTAAATGGTTGTGGCTGAGAATTGTTATGAGCGTCAGCAATGGAGAACAGGACTCTGGTTGTATACTATGTGCTCACTGTGTGCTCACTGCAAAGCAGGACGGGAAACGTGCTCACACTGAGTGGACCTGTGAACTGCTCGCACAGCTACACTGATAGATGGCTCTAACTCCACTGACCAACAACATAAGTTGCCTTTTCACTTCAGTTGCCTCGCTTCAGAGGTCAGCACGTTTGGACATAGAAGAGGAAAATCTGGAAAAATGGCATTGCATTAAATTGTGTCGGGAGAGGACGGGAGAAGGAGTCAAATGAAGGCAAGTTTCAGCCTGAGACTTGGCAAGGCTTCTCCACACAACACCGTGGATACCATTGGAAACAAAAGCCCTAAAATCAATTGGACACACCAAATGAGAATGGAACATTGGATCTTGCTGAATGGATGGATCTCATTGACCCTTCCACATCTTTAAGTATCTTGGGAAGTCACCTGGACATCAAGCAGGTACTGAGGTAATGACCAGCTTGCTGTTACAATCTTTGCCAAGGAAGCACTTCCGGTGCTACCCGCCGATAACTCATTCATTTACACAACTCGATTCAGGGAGACAGGTACAGCTTTAGTCAAGGCTCAACACTCGAAGCCCACCAAACCCACTTACTTGTCGTATCTGTCCTGCATGGCTTTGATCTCATGCATTACAGGCAGGTCCTCGACAGAGGTGGAAGGCAGAGCCACATCACGGAGCATGTTTAAGGCTTGTTGTCGAAGCACGGTCAAAGTGGACTGCTCCCGTTCCACCTCCTGCGCAAAAGCATCATGGTACTCCAGGAGCTCGAGCAGCTCGGTCTTCCTGGCCTTTTCAACCGAGCTGTCAGGGAGTCGATCCTGCAACTGGTCCACTACCACGGTCGTCGTCTCGATCTGAGGACCACCACAGAGGTACATGAGACCATATCGACAGTAAACATACATACCTTCCACTGACACCAAATCCCCACTTCTCCATCACCTCGCTGCAAGGGAGTGAAGGTCAGAGGGAGCAACTAGGATCAGAAGAAGTCCATTCAGCCCCTCAAACCTCCTATCAAACCATTCAATCTTAACTCCAAATCCCCACCTTGTGTAACTTCTAAAATGGGTCTTACGTTGCTGGGAAAATGGGATTGTCGAGATTTCCTGGGAAATCATCCAGAAATAAGGTCCTGATTTCAAGCTCATGAAAAACACCAAACTTAGGAACAATGATAGAACGGAACACTAAAACAGGATTTCAATTAAATCACACAGGAAGACTACATTAGGAACCCTGTGCAGGCCCCCAGTATGATGATGATGTTTTGTTACATTGCCAACCACTTTTAGGCAATGGTCTACCATAGGACTGTAAGACATTGGAACCATATATAGGCCATTCAGCCCATCAAGTCTCCTCCGCAATTCAATGGGGCCATGGCTTATCCACCTTCCTGCTTTTTCTCCATAATCCTGGATTCCCCTGAATGATTACTTGTGAGCACAGAGTTAAATTGAAAGAGATGGAGGGGTCTTCATCTTGTTGACCCTGACAGAACCAGTTATGGAGCAGTAACCACTGAACTGCAGGACTGGGAGAGAAAATCTGGGCTTTCCAACCTCGAGAGGGGTCGATTGACCAGAATCTTATGGAGAGAAATTGTTAGGGAATAGGTAAATCAGGAGCAGAATTTGAAATTAAACCATAAAAGTAGAAAAGGAAACACAAGTTCTAGCAAGTCAAAGTGCAAACTTGTTTCTGAAGCAAAAATAATTGACTCACACATGAAGTGCATTTTTTTAATGATATGCTTCTGATGGACAGGACGTTGTTAGAGCTCTGACCAAATAGATGGGCTGGGTTAGGTTCAAAGAGCCATCACTACCTCATGGCTCAACAATTTTCACCATTCTAACCCAGAATGCTAATTGTTAAACATCTCTCTTTTCCATCCTGCCTCCATTCTCAGAATTCTGTCCAGGCACAGAGACAAAAATCCATTTCTTCCCTTGTTTTATGATCATTTACCCCCATCGCAATTTGACTCTACCACAAATAGGCCAAGAGCCCTTTTGTACTTAAAGCCATTGGGATGCCTCTTTGAACTTTTGCATTCGATCTGCTACAAAAATGGACACACTGAGGAAAATGTAATCATTAGTCGGTGAATCGATAAGAGGATGTACAAAGAACAAGTGCTGCAAACAGATTGTGATGCTGTCTGACCTTGTGTCATGTACATGACCTGACCCTTATTTGGAAGGATGCACCTTTAGCCAAACTGGTGGTAACAGAGAAAGTGTCAGCAGGTTGCACAGCGTTTGTGGAAGAGAGGCACCGAGCTTCATAACAGGCCAAAGAACTTTCATCACAACGAGAATATATTAAGAGATGAAGAACTCTTGTGCACGTGCAGAGGCACGTAAAGGAGGTGGGAAGTGAGGAACAAAGGGGAAGATCTGTGATAGGGTGGCAAGGATCATTGCCATTTTCTTCAAACTAGATTTTCCGCATTTCCCTGCTATGTTTCCCGTTCTTTTGCAACTATTCACACCTCCCCGATTCTACCTTTCGCTTCCTCATTTGCTGCAATATCCCCCTCTTTTGTCTCACACCGTATCACTTTGGTCAGTTGATCCTTGCCAGCCTCCGCCCTAGAACAGATGTTCACATTGTTCCCTCCCACTCTCAGCTTTTTCTCCAGCTCTGCAAATTGTTGACAAACTCTTCGAGGGAGGAACCTGTTTGTGTAGCACCATTTCAGCCACACGATGTGGACTGAGCTCAATTCCCTAGGGACAGGTGACACAGAGGGATCCGCTACCTGCACGGCGCTAGCTAAACAAATTTCTCCCCATCCATTTCGAATGCCTTCCAGTTCTGATGAAAGGTTACCGAACTGAAGCACTAATGGTGCCCTTCGCCCTGCTGAGCGTTCTCACTGAAACTTCCCAGCGTCTGCGGAGCCTTCTGACATGCCTGTCACTCTGCCCTGTACCTTGTCAGTGAGGTTTTTCCAGCCTCTTGCAGCTTCTTCCAGCATCTTTTCCTGCTCCCGGGCGACAGTGCGGAGTCGGGTCCAACGCTGCCACACCGTGGTCATGGATCTGCTGATGGTGGCCTTGCTGGCATCATTGCCCAGGCTCTCGAGATGTGAGGCTTGTTCCTCCAGGGCAGTGATCTTCTCATGGAAGGAGTTCACCACCGACAGCAAGGACTGTGAGTGGAGAGAAATACTGGCAGAGTCAACACAGGGAACTAGAACGTCTATAACATGATAACATCCTGTTATAGGAAGGATATTATTAAGCTGGTGGAAGAGATTTACCAGGATGTTGCCCAGCAATGGAGGGTTTGAGTTACGAGGAGAGGATGGATAGGCTGGGACGTTTTTCACTGCAGCATAGGAGGTTGAGGGCTGACCCTATAGAGCCTTACAGAATCATGAAGGGTATAGATAAGGTGGGTGGCAGGTCTCTTTTCCAAAGTGGGGTATTTCAAGTCTAGGGGACATATTTTTTTAAGGTGAGAGGAAAAAGATTTAAAAAAAGGTGTGAGGGCAATTTTTTTACACAGAGAGAGTGGTTCGTGTGTGGAATGAAATCCCAGAGGAAGTGGTGGATGCGGGTACAGTTACAACATTTAAAAAACTTTTAGATAAGTAGACGAACAAGAAATGTTTAGAGGGATATGGGCAGGTGGGACTAGTTTAGTTTGGGATTATGGTCGACATGGACTGGTTGGACCAAAGGGTCTATTTTCATGCTGTATGACTTTACAACTCTATAACACCAACATACAACTAAGGAAACGCAGACTGGAAACAGACCATTCGGCCCAACAAGTCTATGCCAGTGTTTATGCTCTGCGTAAATCTTCCTCCCATTCTTCCTTATCCATCATCATAACCCTTCTCCCTCATCTGCTTATTTGGTTGCACCTTAAATTCATCTATATCATTCAGGGAGAGCTGATTGAGGAGATTCACCAGGATGTTGCCTGGGCTGGAGCTATTCAGCTATAAAGGCAGACTAGATAGACAGGGGTTGTTTTCCTTAGAGCAGAGAAAGCTGAGAGGGTGACGCAACTGAGGTGTACAAAGTAATGAGGGGCAAAGACAGGGTCGCTAGGAAGAAACACTGCCCCTTAAAAAGGGTCAATATCCATGAGTTTTAAGGTAAGGAGCAGGAGGTTTAGACGGGATTTGAGGAAAATACTTCCCCCAGAGGGTTGTGGGCATCTGGAACTTACTGCCTGAAAGGATGGTAGGAGCAGGAATCCTAAAGACATTAAGAAGTATTTAGGTGAGTACTTGAAATGCCATAGCTTACAAGGTAACAGGCCAAGATCTGTAAAAGGGCATGAGGATAGGTGGATGTTTGAGGACCAGCACAGACATGGCGAGCCAAAGGGCCTGTCTCCATGCTGGAAAAACGCTAGTATTCTATGATATTAGTATTATAATAGTATTATATTCATCTCAACTACTCCCCTATGGACGTGAGTTTCACATTTTCACTTCTCTGGGTAAAGAAGTCTCTTCTGAATTCCTTTTTGAATTTCTTGTTGACTTCCAATTATGCTCAGCCCCACGAGTGGAAACGTCATCTCTACATTCACTCTATCAAAACCTTTCATAATTTTCGTGAGCTCTATTAGGACTAGGAGCCAGCTTTATCCTTTATCAATACATTAGATCAATCTGTTCACTCTTTCTTGACAGGTAAAAGTTGCAGTAGTCTCAGAGGACTATCAAACTGCTCTCAAGAAAAAGAGACGACTGATGGAGAGTTTAACCCGAGGGTCAACATTCCTCAGGAAAGGGGAAAGATTGACAATGAAGGAAGTGGTGACCTGAGCAGGGATTGAATCTACACTATTGGTGTCACTCTGCATTGCAAACCAGCACTGAGCCAACTGAAATAACCAAACTCCTTCTTGACAGGTAATTACATAGCAGATCATCCTTGTAAGTAAATTTTGTATTCACTTAGTGTCTCAATACCCCTCTATAATGCAGCGAGCAGAACTATATGCAGCATTGGAGGTAATGTCCAACCAAGGTTCAAGACAAGTTTAGCATAATTTCCCTCCTTCTCAATTCTTGGAATCCATGAAAACAGGGAGAAACAGAGAAGGAATGGGAGCACTGGTCAAAGAGTAAAAACAGAGAATGTTCTCAGCAAGTTATTACAGTGTTTTATCATGTTATTGTACAAAGTATTGGTGTGTCAGTTATTAATATCACTGAGTTGTTGAGAGTTATTTGTTGATGTAAGCTAGTTTTTGATATAAGTTAGTTAATATTGCTTATTGTTGTGAACTGGTTATTGCAGTGATCTAGTTATTGATAATGAACAAGTTGTTGAAATGAATCAGTTATTGCTATGATCCAGTTGTCGATGCAAGTTTGGTACCAATGTGAGCTACTTATTTTATGAGCTATATATTGATGTGAGGTAATCATTGATGTGAGTTATTTATTGTCATGGGCCAGTTAATCTTGTTCAGAGATAGTAAGAACTGCCGATGCTGGAGTCAGAGATAACACAGTGTGGAGCTGGAGGAACACAGCAGGCCAGGCAGCGTCAGAGGAGCAGGAAAGCTGACGTTTTG